GGGGGAGGCTAGGTGGCAAGTCCCCTAGCCGAGGCAAGTCGCGACATACTGGTTGAGATTTCAAATTTTGGGGTGTGAAATTTTACAAATCTTAAATGACTCATCCTTGATTATGGATGAACCACATTCAAACCCCCAACCAAATACAAATCATTACATGGGTATGAATTCATAATGCAATGCTCGAAGGGTTGCCATGGGGCCAACTACTTGAGGTGTTTCTCAATATCTCAATCAATTAGCTGCTTAACCGAAGTGCAAGTAGGATGGATAATCATATGTGATTTAAGAATTATATAATCACGGTAAAAGGCTTTAAAATAAATTCAAATAAACTCTAAATTTTGGTGATAGGTGATGGATTTGGACATAATGCCGCTTAATTGTGGTGAGCAAGAAGACATCCTATTAATTTATGATAGGGGGTAAATTTTTTATAAAATTATGTCAAATAAATGATTGGACAAGTTAACTAGGTATCCATACAATGAGGCTATGTAATGTATGAAGCTCTGTAGAGATGGTGTCAAGTTTAGTAATAATAATAGTAGAAATGAGGACTTAGTTAAGATTGATGGCCAAGAAGTTCTTAAAAGAGATTATTTTTTATATTGCAACTCGATAATCTATGCGAAAGAGAGATCGAGAAAGATATTGCTCATAGAATTAAAGCAGGTTGGATGAAATGGAGATGTACTTCTTGAATCTTATGTGATTATCTCATACTAATGAAACTGAAAGGGAAGTTCTATACGATGGTTGTAAGACCAGCCATACTCTTCAGGATGGAATGTTGGGAAGCCAATAACATATCCATAGTGAGTGTAGTTGAGATTAATGAGTGGCAAGACAAAGAAATATATAATTAGGAATAAATTCATCTCAAAGAATTTAGCAGTAACTCCAATAGGCAATAAAATAAAGAAAAGTAGAATTAGGTGGTATGGTTATGTGCATTATCGACCTAGAACAACACCAGGTAAGAGAGGAGATTTAGTCAAGTAAAAGGATCTAAAAGCGCAAAAGAAAGGCCTAAAAGAACATAGATAGAAGTAATGAGAAAAGGTATAGTGACATATAGCTTGACTAAAGGTATGACCCTTGGTAGAACATAATGTCGGAACAAACTTCATGTAGCCGACCACAGATGATTGTGATAAGACTCAGATGATGATGATATCCAAATATGTCAAACCACGTTCACTAACGTACAATATGCAATAAAATGACAAGATTAAAAATATTTGAATTAAAAGATCAAATCAGTTCAAGAATATGTAGGACAGGGGGTAAGCACTCTAAAAAAGTAGTGCCTACTTTGGTACCAATGTATGAAAGAATGAAGCATCCAAACATTTGCCAATTATGCCTACCCAAACCAAATTCTAACTGCTATATAACAGATGTTAAAAGAGGATTGGCCGTAAAGTCCCATGTCTATGATGGTTGGGAAGAAAACTCCATTTTCACTTAAAAGAACCGTTCCCACTTTGTTGGACTTCGAAATTTAAAAAAAAAGGATGAAGTCCCCGATGGAGAAGATATAATAAATACAATTGACAGATGCACAGGCGGAGTGAACACAGAACAACGAATACAGAGAAGCTTTGAAGATGAGGGTTTACCATGCAACAAGTAAGGTTAATTGGGACAATTGAGTCACATTCCCCTTATTTTCTTTAATTTTTTTTATTACTATTTTCATGTGTTCATCAAGCAGAGGATATTTTGTTCCAATTTTGTAACTAGATATAATTAATTGAGCAGTTACACGAATTCCATGATAAATGTACCAACTTTATATAAATAAAGGATGATTGTTGGGATTGAAGGACTTAAGGGTAGTTCGACCTCGGGAGAGAGTTAAAGATGAGTAAGTAGAGGGCTCCTTTCTTGATACACCCAAAAAACTGCACATGAATGTGATCCGACACTCTAAATTTTAGGGTTTGAATATCCGAGAACAATGATGACTTATAGTATCTTTTAATATAGTATAATCAAGAACCAAGATTCATGTAGCCGACCCTAATTAATTAGAAAAAAACTAAAACAATGATGATGATTATATCCAAGAACAATAACATTTAAAGTATATTCATTGGCCTTCATACATATAGATTCTATCTTATTGGCTCTCACGGAGGCGTGAAACAATTAGCCCATCAAGACGTGGTCATCCATGGATCCACAATGAGTTGGGTTCACATTAGGTGGGTAACAACTTGGGTCACGTCTAGGTCAAGCCCAACCCCAAATCGACAAGACCAATCGGTTCCGAGTCAAAATATAAAAAAAATAAAACTATATGGATTATATAATACATATATGTGTTATATGTATTATATATGTTGTGATATTATATTTATTATATAATATCACAACATATTTGTATTATATATAGAAAATACAGGTTAGACTTGTTCAAAAAAATCGGTTCCGAGTCAACATATATGTCGTGATATTATATATAGAAAATACGGGCTAGACTTGTTCAAGAAAAAAGAAAATATGAGCTAGACCCGGACCCAACCCGAGCCAACTCTCGGGTCATACTTCTGGAATCGACTCCGACTCCGACTCCTCAAGTACAAAAGTTAAACCGGGACCTAAATCAGTTTGATCCGTTACTGCGAGTTGACCCAACCCCATTGACAACCCTAGTTCAATTAATGTCCCAAACAAGTTCCAAGTATCGTTTATTCCTGAGATACCGTTATCAAGTTTCAAAAGAACAGTTGTTTTGAAATAAATTTGTCCCAAACAAATTAGAAATCACTAGCCATTTTGAAACACAACATAAGCAGTTCACCTATTTTGTTCAAGAAATCATGGCTTTTGATTGAAACAAGCATGTCGGTAAACATTGTTCAGGAGTAAGAATAATAAGAGGCAACATCATTTGGACTCTATGAGATTAGAAAGTATAAATCGTTGTGCACCCCTGAAATGGTAGAGGGCCAATGATATATATTATAATTTTAGTTTTAAAGTTTATTTATAGGGTTTTCTAATTTTTTAGGGATTTTAGGGTTTTTGTACGTTTTGTTTATTTCATAAATACTATTCACAAATACTGTTTACAGGGATAAAATTATCATTGTGAATTTTAAGTTTAAGTTGGCATATATGGTCAATGTATTATTTGTTTGGACATTTTTTGTATTTAAAACAGTACATAATATTATAAATAGGTGTATGGGGCCTAAGAGAAGGCTTTTACAACTTTAGCTTGGATGTAGAAAAAAAACCATATATTTCTTTGAATTGTGCTTATGTTTGGTTTTGTTTCTTGATAATTACACTATTTCTTTAAATTTTTCTGCATCAGTTACAAAGCATAACATGAAAAAAAGTGGTGCAAAAAGAGACTCGGGATGTGCAGAACTCCTTACGGATCTTGAAGTCCTTCAAAATCTATTGAAATAAATTCACATCCTAGAGTAGGCAGGTCAAGATAAAGCAACTTTAGAAGACATTGCTTGGCTTTTACATAACACTGAAAACTCAAATTATGTTATCAAGTTCCACAAACACAACCCTTATTATCTGAAAATTTTTAATCACCCCCAAAATTAATTTATTGAATTAATTATTTATTTTCATTCATATTATTATAAATATTTTGTCCCTCTAGACGTGACGTATTTAAATTTGTGTCTATTGATGGGCACAATCACGTGCCTAATTGAGAGGGGTAGGGATGGAAGGGAAAGAGGAAGATAGAATGAAAAATAAAAACCCATAAGAGAGAAAGAGAGAAAAAACCAAATCCAATATTCAAGAGAGAGAAAAGAAGAGATAGAGAGGGAGTAAAAAACGAACCTAATCCAAGAGAGAGAGAGTGAAAAAGGAAAACCCAATCCAAGTGTGTAAAAAAGGAAAACCCAATTCAAGATAAAGGAAGAGTGAAAAAAAATAAAAAATTCAATATTCCTTTTTCTATTGTAGTTGTTTTTATTTAATTTTACTGGCATCAAATTTTTCTAGTCCATTTGATAAATGATCATTAGATTCTCATATAGTGAAACAAATTTGCAATTTTTTGTGGTATACATTATTATTTGGGCAGTTAACTTGTTAATCCTTTTGTCATAACATTTTTTTTAGTTTGTTTTGTTTTTCCAATGATTTTTCTTTCTTGTATGTTATATGAATTATGAAAGTGATTTATGATTTAGTTGACTCCAATTACACTTTAACTTGTTTGTATTTTCCTCCTTATGTTTGAATAGTTTTCTTGTTCGATATGCTTAAAGGATTTGGTAAACGCCCAATATGCTTAAATGTTTTATCGTACGGAAAAAACAATTATAAAAGAGCGATATGAATGACCAAAATGGTTAAATTTTCATTCTGTATTTGCAACGTATTTTATAGGCCTAAATTCTTAAATGCATAAACTCCATTAATAGGGGATAGGCGCATATTCAATATAGCATATGGTGCAACTTAATGAATGCTTAAGCGCTTGAATTTTCGTCTTAAACATGCTTAATTCCATTGGAGCATATGGGCTAAAACAATGGGTTGAAATTTTCGCACATCGGGGATTAAGGTAAGGGAGGAGGGCTTTAGCTGCTGTATAAATGGTCAATCAGTTTACCCGAAGGCCAATGTACATGCCCCCCCCCCCCCCCTTACCCCCACATGGGCGTGTTGGATCCCTATTGAATAAAAAATTTATATACAATAGAAATGGAAGAAAATGTACGAATAAGAAATTGTGGAACCGGTTTTTGGTAGGAACCAATTGGTTTTCGGTAAAAACCAGTTTTTGGTAAGAACTGGTTGGTCCATTGACAGAACTGAACAGTTCCTACAGTGAATCGTTGAGTTCAAGGGGGAACCGGCCAGTTCATGATATATGTTGAGATCTGGACCGGCCTGATCGATCTTACATCTAGATCAAGCAATTCCAATTCAGATGGATGCTTTTTTGGCTTTTTTAAAACATTAATACAAATATTAAAATGGAAACAGCACCTTTCAATCTATAGTTTCAGGGCCAAAAGAATCATGCAATAAAATATGAACCCATATGGGTACCTCAAGGCAAACTTGGGCCCTCAAAAACATAACAAGATTTCCATCATATTAGTGTTGTTGAATTATTGGCAATATGATTTTGATACTTTAACTCCTATAAACCAATGACCTTAATTTTAGTGATCAGCTAAGGTGAATCTAAAACAGTCCGCTGCTGTAGTGACACAAGCTGAGTGTATGTGCCACCAACCATGTTGGTGAGCTCCTCATGGCTCCCACTTTCCTTCACCTTTCCATTTTCCAGCACAACAATCTTATCAGCATTCATGATGGTAGACAACCTATGCGCCACCACAACTGTTGTCCTTCCCTCCATTAGCTTATCTAGTGCTCTCTGTACCAGATTTTCTGAAGTCGCATCCAAGGCACTAGTAGCCTCATCAAGGAGAAGGATTGAGGGGTCTTTCAAGATAGCTCGAGCAATGGCGACTCTTTGCTTCTGACCCCCCGATAAAAGAACACCTCTCTCTCCTACTCTGGTGTTATAACCATCAGGCATGCAGCTGATGAACCCATGAGCATGAGCTGCCTTAGAGGCCCTCAGTACCTCTACTTCAGATGCTCCATCTCTGCCATATAAGATGTTCTCATATATGGTGGTGGAGAATAATGCAGGTTCCTGCTGAACCAGACCGACTCTCTTGCGATAAGATTTCAGGTTCATGCCTCTAATGTCATGCCCGTCAATAAGTATACAACCGGAAATAGGGTCATAGAACCTCATTAAGAGTGCAATTACGGAGCTCTTGCCAGAACCACTTTGACCTACGATAGCAACAGTGCAGCCTGCCTCAACTTTCAAATTCAAGTCATCAAACACTACTACTTCTGGCCTGACAGGGTACCTGAACCCCACATTCTTCAATTCTATGTCTCCACTAACTTCAGTGACTACCTCTGAGGAGGGGTCATCAGGCTCAATTAAAGTTTTTCGTTCAAGGATGTTAAAAACTGAAGCAAGAGCTTGTGATCCCTTGACTATATCAGGGGCCAGAGCAAGCGTCTCTGCCACACCTAGAGCAGTTATCACTAACACCATGAAGGACTTCATGATGTCACCAAAATCTGATTTCCCATGTCTCATGAGAAGGCTTGCATACCAGAGAGCAATCGCATATGAACAATACATAAAAAACTGGGACATTCCATAGCCTAGTCCAGATATGTTGCCACGTAAAAGGCTTCGCTTCCTTGGAAGGTAGAGCTCCAGAGCAAATAGGGCTGAAACTCGATCCTCTGCACAGAATGCAACAATTGTTCGGATATTGTTGATGGCTTCTCGAGCTACAGCTGATGCTCGAAAATAAGCACTGTTGTAGTCTCCTCCAAACCCCCTGAGGAATAGTTGCTGCGCCCAAGGATCATAAGCTAGTTGAGAGATTCATGATAGCAATAGACTGCAAGAATCCAAAATTCTGAGAATGAACTAGAGAAAGAAACAAAGATGGTCATGAGATGACAGGAGGAACTGCATAATATGTATATGAGAAAAGAACTTAAATGTGTGTTATGGTGCATGGTGATGTGAGGGAACAATATAAGCCACAGCACTGCCCATCTGAATTTCATACCATTTCTTTTTGGCTAGGAGAACTGAGGTTTTGTTGGGTCCCCAACCAAAATCAATAAATAAATTGGTGAACCAATCATATAAAACATAATGCGATTATGGATGAAATAATGATCAGAAACAGCATTTATTATGACCGAGAAAGCCACTAGCATATTAGTATATAAGCAGGCATTTGCTATCACCCTAGAGAGCAATAGATCATTTATCAAGTTCAAAGGATGATCAAAACTAGATCATTGGTGTCCTGAGAGTTCAAAGATTGTATTTCCAGTATTACAGGAAAACTAGGCATACATGAATCTTAATTCCCAAGGTTGTCAAAGAGGGACATTTCATATGAAATGTGGTAGAATATCAGTTTGGGTGAGAGAGGTCAATCGTTCAAATCCTTTTAAGTTTGTCCCAAGAAAAACCAAACAAGCTGACTCATCCTTTTAGGAATTGGGCTTGGGCGTGGGCTGGAGTGGTTAGCAGCTGGCGTCAACAACGCTACATCTTAAGTTCGATACCTACTGCTGAAATATAAAAAAAAATTAATAATATGAAATGAAGCAATGTTTTCAAACAGAGGACATGGATCTTAAGCAAGATAAGACTTGCATCAGAGTCTTTAAAAAGGAGCAACAAGAAAAGGCATTTCCATTATCATCATCTTCAAAATGTGTCCAGTTAAATTTTTAACCCATGATAAACCTTCATGTACCAGCAATAGGGGTGGCAATGGGTATGGGTCAGGCCCTGCTGGACCCGGACCCAGACCCAAATGTATTCGGGTCCAAGTTTTGGACCTGGACCTGACCCATCGGGTCCAAAAGTTGGACCCATATCCATACCCGTCAGGTCCCAGATCTATCCCATCAGGTCCCATGTCTGGTCTGGCCACCCTCACTATGAGCTTCTTTTTTTTATTTTTTGCCCTTTCCTTACTATCATATACCCAAATTATTGGCAACAAGGTCACAACCCGCCATTAGATTTCAAGTCGTCTTATTTGTCATTTAATAGCTAAAGATGATTATGAATTCTTATTGTATACGATCTTTAATACACCCAAACTAATAGGGCCTGAAGTATTTTATCTCCAACAATTTACAGGTACGGGTCAGGCCCAACCGAACCCGGACCCGAATAGTATTCGGGTCCAGGTTTTGGACCTGGACCCTACTTGCCGGGTCCAAATGTTGGACTCATACCCGGACCTATTTAGGTATACCCAGTGGGTCCCGGGTCAGGTCTGGGTCCATAGCCACCCCTAACCAAGAGGTATAACTTACACATGATTTGGCAACACAATGCTGAAGTCAAATGAAATCATAGAAGGATATCAAGTATAGTTACAAAGTACTAAATTTAGTGAATCCACACGTGGCCCAAGAATTAGACTCATATTCAAGGAGAAAAAACCCCAGCTTTCAAGTTAAATACTTACTTCACCGATAGAAGCACCAATAAGTAGTGGGAATGTAGCAATTACAACGGCTGCCATGCGCCAAGTCAGCATAAATGCAATGGTAAATGCTGTGACAGTAAGGGAGATGTTTTGTACAATAGTAGAAATACGGTCTGCCAATGCACTTCTCACCAACGTCGCATCTGCTGCTAAGTGTGATGTCAATGATCCACAGTTATTCTCATCCAAATCAAACCAGCCAACCTCATTTCGAAGTATAACTGCAGTTAAGAAACCATTCAAATTGGTTAAACCTAACTAGGCCAAGAGAGGTGGAAATGGATATGTAAAACAGGGATATGCAACATTATATCAAAATTGTAGATGAACAATGCTAATAAGACCTGAGAACATCATGCTACGAACTCGAGCAGTAAGGCGCTCCCCCATCCAAGTATAAAAATAATGTTGCAACAAATATATGGGAAGAGTAACCACAGCTGCTCCAACAAATATAAGTGAAATCCTTTCAATCTCATGCTTGACATGTAGCTTGTCAGGGGAATAGAAAGTGGTCAGGCAATGAGTTATCCCAAGAGCAAAGAGAGGACCCTCCATGCCTGCCAGGATGGCACCCAACGAGCCAAGAACTGCGAACCGCCACTCAGGCGTATTCAGTCTGACTAATTTCCAGAAATATGGAGTAGCGTTTGAATTTTTCTTTTCCGAATGAGGGATGTCGCTCTGTGATTGTAGATCCTTGAATTTTGGGTTCGGATAATCTAACTCAGAGGTGGGGCATGTGGGAAAATGGGGAGTCTTAAGGAAATTCCTAGTGAACACAATTTAAGGTAAGATAAGAGTGAAGAATCCATAAAGCTAGATCTAAAGAATGAAATCCAGAATCGTTTAGGGTATCTTGAAAGAAAAAGAAAGTGCAGCCTTACTTTGTCTGGTTAGGAAGTGTCTTGCTTGGAAGCTCATCATTTGCTGATATCTGTAAGCTCAACAGAGAGGCATACACGCCATCTTTTCCAGTCGATATCAGCTGTTCATGGGTGCCACATTCAACGACCTTGCCATTTTGCAGAACTGCAATACAGTTGGCATTGCGAACTGTAGATAACCGATGTGCAATAATAATAGTCGTCCGGCCTAACATAATAGTATCAAGTGCCTGCTGAACAAGGTGCTCAGACTCTGTATCAAGTGCGCTGGTTGCTTCATCAAGAAGTAAAATCTTAGGGTTTCTTAGCACTGCTCTAGCAATTGCAATCCTCTGCTTCTGCCCTCCAGAAAGCTGGGTGCCACCATATCCAACCTGCCAAGTCAAACAAGTAAAAGCAAATAAAAAACCTAAGTACAGATGTTTCATTTAGCCCCACAGAACAGTTTTAAAACCTTGTTCCCTCTGTTGTAACAAACCTGAGTGCTGTAATTTTCAGGCAATCTTCGGATAAAAGAATCCGCATTTGCAGCTTTTGCAGCTTCCATAATCATCTGAATATCAGAACTTTCATTTCCATAGCTGATATTTTCAGCAATGGTGGTAGCAAACAACGCTGGTTCCTGACTAACTAGTCCAATTTGGCTCCTCAGCCACTTCATTTTCAGACTCTTGAGGTCATGCCCATCCAACATAATAACACCTGGTGAGTACCAAATATCATATAGCAAATCATAGAATAACCATTCATGTAAGTATTGGGCAACTACCATCAGCACCTTTTCTAAGACATTCCTTTACAAACACATGCTATAATTTTATTAATGATTATATGTTTCAGAAATACCTGAAGTTGGGTCATAAAAACGTTCAACCAGGGATAGAATTGTGCTTTTCCCTGAACCGCTTGGACCGACAATTGCAAAAGTACTCCCAGCTGGAATAGAAAGGCTTAGATCTTCAAATATTAGACCCGCTCGAGAGGGATAAGAAAAAGTAACCCCACAAAATGCAATATTGCCAGCCACATTTGGTAAAACTACTCCATTTTCCGACAGCACAGACACACTCGGACCTTTCTCAATCATACTCATTAAATTGCTTGCAGCTGCCCGGCCTTCAGCAAAGGCACTGAGATTCGGAGCTGCTTGACCAAGTGATCTACAAAGCCCCAAAAATGTTTTCAGGAAAGAAAAATAAATTCGAAATATAGAATGCAACCAGATAGATTCCATCTAAGAGCTTACATTCCACTGATAACAACATTGAGAATTGTTGTGAAGGCTTTGCCACCATTAGTTGCTTGATGCCTGACAAGGACACCTGCATACCAGAGTAGTAAGGCCCACGCACCAAACAGTAGACCATAGGTTATGCCGACACCCAGTCCTTTGGCCATGCCACTTTTTCTCCCCAACTTCAAGGAAGTTTCAAGTGAAGTTGAATATGCTTTACTTGCTTTGTCCTCCCCAACAAAAGAATGAACTGTGCGAATTTGTGAAATCACCTGACCTAGTCAAACACAAAGATGTATCAGAATACAGCGATAACTAAGAATTCAGAGGCAGCACTACTAACATGTGCGCCTACTGACTTGTAAGGTGCCAGAGAACACATTCCAATCTTTTGGGAGTTTTGGAAAGACTTTCATCTTTGCAACAACTGAAAATATCTCAACAGGATCAGTACTAATGTACTATTCCCATGTGTAACCTCACGTCACATAGCGGGCTTTTCCCATCTTGAATTGTACCATTTATGTGCAAACTGACCTCATAAACCAATATATATGCAGCGGAGTACTTTCCCATAGGCAGCTAAACTATATCCAAATCAGAGTACCTTAGGGAGTCTTCATGAAATTTAGAAAACAAGTTGGACAAAAGAAAATATGTCTGAAACAAAATCAGCACATTCAGGTCGACAACCATTAATCACAATGCATCCTCAAGTTAAGAGGGGTTTGATAATGCATGCCAGGAAGAGGAAGAAAAACTATACTTGCTGATTATGCTAGGTAAGGATTCTCAGTGGGATGGTGAATAGTTCACTGATCCATATGAAAAGGATTTATCTGTGGCTAGTGAGAAAATTTAGGGACACACTTAGGTTGAATCACATTCAAATAAAACTCATAAGATGCAATTACACATATATTTGGAGGTGACGAGACTTGAGGGAAAATTTAACCACCCTGCAACTCTGTGGAAAACTTGTTCAGTCAAAGTTACATGTCAACACATAAGGATACTTGTAGCACAAGGATTGAGACATCCTTAACATTATGACTCGGAACATTTCAATGCCATGCATCATATTAGCTATACCAAGGAACACAAGCAGGCAAACACATAATAATCATACCTCCGTTACAAAGACTAGGGAAAACGGCATGACCGATTCTGTATGATGCAGAATACAATAAATAAATCATCAAATGAAGTAAGCTTTGAAACATTTGGAGTCATTTCTAACAAATCTTGAATCGTAAATCCATACAAATTATGTAGGACCAGAGAAATCAACAAAAAATCTAGTTTTAAAAAAGAAACAAGGAAGCAGCCACAAACTCTCTTCCAATTCAAAATATGACCGACATCAGACTTTATCGATCTCATGCAATAGAAATTTCAGGAAATAGAAAAAATTTTGATCTATTATCGATCAAACATTTGAAGTATGCCTAGATGCAGAGACTTAACAAAAAGAAATCAAATAACTATAAGATCAGGCGTCACACCAGAATGTATATCTTGGAGATATATATATATATATATGTATATATATATATATATATATAATAGGAAAAAGCTGAGATTAGCCCACTAGCTCATATGAACATATGAGCCAACGGCCCAGATTGAATCTGAGCCGATCTGACGATCACGGATGTCCGGTAGTGTTTGAATTTTATTTATTTTTCTACAAATTCAAATCACTTGAAATTTTAGGCATGTGTTTATCAAAAATAGGTGAATCTTTGAAAAATATCAAAAAAATATTTTACATGAAATAAATTTACCAAAATACCCCCAAAAAGTTTCGAGCGGTATTTTGGTTATTTTGTTTTTCACAAATAATTTTTTTTATATTTTGATTAGGTGCGTCTTGATGAGAAGAACACACACCTAAAATTTCAAGTGATTTGGATTTGTAGAAAAAAAATAATTCAAGTACTACTGGACATCCGTGATAGTCAGATCGGCCCAGATTAAATCTAGGCCGTTGGGCTCATATGTTCATATGAGCTAGTGGGCTAATCCCAGCTTTTTCCATATATATATATAGGGAAAATATATAATGAGACCATTTATCTTTGGTACAAAGTGGTCACAATTCATATTGACCATTAAATGTGAAATTGGGTGGTTGCATTTATTTCATTGACAAAACTCAAAGTTCAAAGGAAATTTTCTTGAACTTTGTGACATCTCAGATTTCACATTGGATGATTATAAGTAATTGTGACCTCCATGTAGCAAAAGTAAATGGTCTCATTGTATACAATCCCATATATATATATATATATATAAGGAAAAGTTTATATAGAGTCGAGGCTCTAAACAATCAAATTTGAGCATACCTCAAAAATCTCACTAGAAGAGGTTGTTTTGATGCCCAAATATATTCAAATTGATCATCTCGATCTCAAAATTCATGGACATGAGAAAAAATGGATTTCAAGTTTATTTTTGGAAATAGTGTATTTTGTAACACATTTTTGGACCGTCAATTTTAAAGAATTTCAAGTTTTCATAGATATGTCGACCTACACTATTTTCGACGCCTTTAAACTTTATAAACAAATGTGAAAATATATTTTAAGGCTGTCACAAAAATTTCCAATATTGAAACCACCTTGCTCGATACTATATGAAGGTAGGCTCTAATTTGATTGTTTAGAGCCTAGGCTCTATACAAACCACACCCATATATATATATATATATATAGGAGCAATGATCCAATGCAACGGTTGTATCATAGTATAATGCAACGACAATTCTAGAAAATCATGTTTGTGGTACTTGTATGACCTCAAATTTTGCACACACACTCTCTTCATCTCAATAATCAATCCCCCAAAAAAAACAAAGTTTAATTTGAACCCTAGATATGGTCAAAATGAGTCCCCTCCAAAAACGAATCTAGACCATTCATTTTGTGAATTTCAAGATCTTAGCTTTTATAAACTCAAAATCATTTTTTTCTTTTTTAACATTGTTCATCTAATGAAAATAAAGCCATCCAAAAAAATTGATAATGAAAAAATTCTTTTAAGGCCTAGATCTAAGCATCTCACCAAAATGAACGGCCTATGTTAATTGAGCTAAAAAAATACTTTCTAGGTTGTGTTTTCAATTTTTTTTTCTTTTTCTGTGATTGTTCATTAGAATGAAAAGATTGTATATTTCAAAATTTGGATCAAACAAATGGCCATAAGATGGTTTTCTAAGGTTGTTGCCATAAGATGGTTTTTAAAGGTTGTTGCATCACACGCACACGCGCACGCGCACGCGCGCACACACACACACACACATATATATATAGATGCATGAATAGGAGGGAGGAAAACAAGTGTGTGTTAAGACTGAAGTTAAGGAAAACTACATCCATTCCAGCACTAGTTTGAGTTTGAAATTATGAAGGTGCCTAGGCAAACATGCTAAGTATCTAATCTGCACAAGCTTCTTGAGGGCTTCAAGTTTCAAATGATATCCCACCTTCTCCTTGTGACAAGGTCTAGCATTGGCTAAATATAAATTTATGAGCAAGCTGTTGGCATTGGCAAGCAGAAATTAAACTCTGCGAATAAACAATTATGTCATGATTTCTTCTCCATGTTTAAAGTTCTCCGAATCAGGATGCTCACCCTAGTCCACGCAGTTTGGCACATTAAAAAATTCTCTCATGAAATATTCGAGTTCGGCCAAGTTATTCAGTTTTATGCCGGAATTTATACACTGTAATATTTTGGTAGAATGTGCTTGCCTCTTTATGCTTGAGATAAAGTTCAAATCCTATTGTTAGCACAACAATATTTTTCCATAATATAAAACTTCACCATGCTTACTCAAAATTGAAAAACTCAAGCAAGTTGACTAGGTTTTCACTCTGTCCAAGTCAAGGACTCGGAGTTTTTTAAAAGAAGTTCTTCTTGACTCTAAAACCAATGATCTAAATAAGAAAAGTTACAAAGAAAAACACATAGAAGAAGCCATGAAGACTTAGCTAGTAGGGGTGAGAATTTACCCAATTTGGATCTAAAACCCCAATTTTGAAGATTTGGATCCGATGGGTCGATCCAAATCTAAAATTTGGATCCAAATAGTAAATACAGATCGGATTCAGGTACAAGTGGATCCAACCCAATTATTATATTTTATATATATATATTATTGTATTTTTTGCCATATATTATTTTACAGATATAAAATGATATTTACCCAAAAATAGATATAAAATAACATTTTTTATCTGAATAGGGTCGCAGATCAGAATCCCATATATACTTTTCAAATCCTGATCTGGATCCGAATATTCTGGATCTAATCCAGGTTCAAATATGATTAGATCCAGATTAGGATCCAATATATACTTTTCGGATCCAAATCTGTATCACAATGGACCTGGAACAGGACCTGATCCGACCCATTCTCAGCCCTATCAGCGAGCTAGAAAAGCTACAAAACTGTGTCTGCAAATCCATATGAATTTGGTGAGTTTGTTCCAACTTTTTCTTCATATTTTGCATCTGAAAATAGTAGTTGAAGGTTGAGAAAGATTGTATGAGAAAGGAAAAAGTTATTGGGAATCATTTTATTTTATTGGACAGATTTAGATGGGTTTTGATGGGTACATGATTGCTGGAAATTATATTGGGGTTTGCTTAGAGGAGCTTTACAATAGTAACAATTGATTTTGAACTCTGATTCTTTTGTGGATAACAAAGTTAGCGACCTTTGTACACCCTCTTGAGTCCCAAAAAAATTTACATCAACTTTTCGTAGGTGTTTTGATAAGAGTTGCATGCCACATATTTGTTAATATTTCTGGTTGAGTTCAAAACCCAGCTTGCATGTTATTTTAGTTGTATTTATTTCTGAAAACCAAAAGATCTATTGTTTTTGGGCCAGCATTTCTAAAATTGTTGTAGTATATAGAGGCACATTTTGGGCCCTTGGATCTAGCCCCACATGTGTGCCGCACTCCATGGATGGGGCGTGGAGCCCTTGAACCCACTTGTCACCCATAGGGTTGGCAAGCCCCTCTACTTCTTCCCTTAGAACTTCTTGTTTTGATTAAAATATGTTTTAAGTTAGTTAGGTAATCTTTTAAAATAAAGGAATGTGTGTACTAAGTCTTATGGAAATGACCCGAGGCATAATCTAGTGAGTAGTTTTATTTTTCAGTCATATTTGCACGTTTATTCTGTGTTTCCAGGAACATTACTTTTGCTTAAATTGTTGGTAAAAGCTTGGTTTTTATTCGTAGATTGTGTCCATTTATTTTTGGTAGTAAAAGACAGGGTCCTATGTTGTATTTAGGGTTTTGTTTCTTATTTATAGCAATATTTTGCGGCACTTATAAGTGAATTTTAGATTGATTGATATAAGAAAAAGAGCAATTCTTTTATTTCATCGCCTTAAATTCTACATAGCCACTTCTATCCACATCCATCAACTTGAGGATATTAAAGAAGTCATTGCTGAATTGTAATCAGTTCATATATGAATTCCCTTATTTTATAGGCCTCAAAACGGATGACATCAATCACTCTAAAACTCTTCAGCAATATAATTTTTTGAACAGCATAAGTGCAAATGTTCCATGAACATTTAACTATTTTTATGGTAAAAAATAAAGATTCACTTACCTCTTCTGCCACTTTTGCCGCTTCAGCATAGGCTGCCTCACCCTTCTTTGATAATCCAGCCATCGTAACTGTATATGCACCTCCAGCAATAACCATGAGCGGAACTACGGCAAGAGTGAGGAGAGTAAGTTGCCATACAGATGAGAACCCCAAGGCAAAGCCAACCAAAAACCGAGCAAGATAATGTAAGCAATGGCCAACCTGCATAAAATGATAGAAGAATGCGATATAAGTAGTAGACCAACCTTCTTAAAATTTACCATGTAATTAGTAACAGATTGATATGAACTGAACGAGAAGCGCTAGTCAAGATAATTCAAGGTTTTCCCCCTAAACCAAACTGGTATGTAGATAATAAAATGAGATAGATGGGTACAAATGCTATTTCTGGATAAAATTATATTGCGCCCCTAATTAGAGAGCTCAATGTCATGCCACCTTTCGTACAACAAGGAGGCGGTATCATTGAATTTTCGTGCTGTTATCAGGAATCCAAATTGTTTTCATCACAGTAATGAAAAGAAATTGTTGTTACCAGAAAAGTCACTTACTATAATGAATAAATTCTCACATATACTTAGTTTATATTCTGATGAATTGTTATATATATAAATGCAGATGTGAATTACACATAGATTTCAATATATGCATACATAGATGTATTTATATATGTAGATACTTGTATATTGTACAGATGTGTCGTGTCCAGATGTCATTTTAGGGTTCAAGTTTCTGACACTAGCATCCATGTCTAGTAGTAGTACCGCCAAGCCTCATGATTAAGTCTCAGACTCCATTCTCACCAAAGGGTGGGAGCCCAGATCCCCACTAACTTACCATTTTTTTCATCCAAAAAAAAAATCATAACCATGGATATTTTGTTATGTACCACATGTAAGTGTGCAACTTCAAGATGATATGATTTTAAAATAATCACGAAGGAAACAAGAAGGCAAGAATGTAATAATAAGGAAACAGAAGACTGAGGCATCATGTGGGAAGTGATCAAACAAGCATTCACAACAACAGAAGTCCTGCAGTAGAAGCACTAACCACGGGTCCAAGGTTAGAACTTCTACCATCCCACAGGAGAAGCACCACCAACGTGTAAATCTGTTGTGTAGTGCCTCACACAGGCACACAACCCCAGCGCGCTTTGGGGCTTTGATAGCCTATGGACTTACAAGACACTACTCCCTACGCCACCTTGGCTATGAGTTTGCACCGTCTGGGTGCCAATCACTACGAGTGGAAAAGAGACCACCCAAACATCTCTTGCCCCTACTCCCATCCTATCATGGGGAGTCGAGGAGGTCACAATTGCCAGCACAATTTGGTAACAAGTTAGGCCATGCAATACGCTCAAAGCATGCTAAGAAATCACATACTATTACAAGAGACATCATGTCAATAGCATATAATCACATATCATCATGCTTATCAAATCACATATAAATCTTCATGATTCAAAAGATTTCACAAAGTACCCTACTGGTATCCCAAGTAGGTCACCTATATACCCCACCAGCGTCCTTGATGGGTCCACTTAATCCCTACTGACGTACCAGGTAGGTCCACTCATACCTCAACGACGTACCAGATGAGTCCACTTAATCCCTATCGGTGCACCAGAGAAGTCCACTTATACCTCACTGTTATACCAGATGAGTCCACTTGTATACTTAAAGTATCTCTGAAACCCTTTTTTAACATCAAGAAGCAACAATATCATTTATTCAAAATATCCTTGAAATCAATAACATGAATCCACATGAAGCAATTTATAGCAGACACTTTGACTCATATTTCTATAAATATTCAGTCCAATATTTTGGGCTCAATTTCTTAAATATAGTTTCAGAAAGGTAGCAGTTATGAGAGACATTGAAATCTATACACAATAAATATTAGACAGTAGAAGAATCTCATGGAAATTCAGAGTTGTATACTAAATTTCCAACTATCTAAAATCCTTAATAATAGTCGTAACTATTTTAATTAAATGCCAAAATAACTATTTTTCAAGAAAATCAGGTCACTTACACATAAAACTTACAGTGTCTAAAATTCATAACAATAGACGGAAATATCATAATTTTATTATAAGCAGAAATACCAGTTTTCAAATAACTATTTTACAGGAAGATAAGACCACATACACATAGAACTTAAGGTATCTAAAATTCATAACAGTAAACAGAAATATTACAATTTTATTGAAAGCAGAAATACGAGTTTTCGAATAACTATTTTACAGGAAAATGAAGTTACTTACTGTTGCTCATCAGGTTTGGTTGATCTGAACCGTATCTAGGTCTGGACCCTCAAAGTGGACTAAGAGATTCAAGTCAGTACAACGATATGGATCCGACCGATCCAGAGCAAGTAATACATATATATAAATGGCCTGGTAAGGCCTGGACATGCCAGGTCATGTACAGGGCCGATTACCCATTTCTCACTCAATGACTTCTCCCCCAACTTCCAATCCATTTTTGTGGTATTCTTTTTTGGACAAAATGCATGAACCCAGACATCTTGCCCATTTTAAGATACCGAATTGCTTGATTTCATTCTTCAAAAAGGCTTTGAGAATAATTTTGGTTATATCTCACAAGGAAGAGTAAATGAGGGGGTGATGATGAATATATTTTAAAAAATGAGAATCCTAAAATGCAATTCCAAGATACCAGTAACCATTACGCTGCAGCAGAAAAACCCACTAAAGAGTGAAACTAATCAAAGGTATGGACAGTAGAAGGGAATCAGCTTTCAATAAGATTCCAAAAAAAAAGGGAATGATAGGGTTTATGTAAAAATATCGATGGGTAACACCTCATAGTACATATGTCCTTGACACATGAAATAGAAAGATGGCATACTTAGCATACACATCATAATGGATGTGTCAAGCAGCCAACACAAATAAATAATAGCCTACCACATCATAAGGCAACAATAAAAGAGAAGGCCCAATTAACAGGTCGAATAGAAAAGAGCAAAAAAGAAAGAGTGATCTTATGGTGCATTAACAACCCAATGAACCCTCAATCAAAATCATTTCTTTATGTAAGTATTTTATTTTATATATTTTTTTATTATTATTAATATTATTATTATTTTGTATTTATTATTACTATTATTATCAAAATAATTAGGGTCGTCACAGAGCAGGACGCTGTCCTTTGGGCGGTCGCCCAGGTCTGGGCGCTAAGCGGCCGCCTAGGCGGTTTCTTGGGTGTCTAGGCGGACGCCCAGGGTATGCCGCTTTTTCTGGGTGCCCAGGCTTGGGCGATGCACCCAAGCCCCCAGAACCCACCCAGGCGCTGGGCAGACCGCTTTTAGAAATACTGCTCCAAACTAAATCCAATATTAATGGGTGATGTTTGGATCCATTTCCCCTAACTTTCATAAACACTTTTGTCCTAACTTTCATAAACACTTTTGTCCAATGAAAATCACAAAATCTAGTTTTTTTTTACATTATTCTCTCTTTAAAATGGGCTCCAGCGGTTTTAGGTTTCAAATGAACCTAAAACTCACCTTTACAAATATTGTTTTTTTAAAGAAATCCAAGAAAAGCCCCTCAACATTGGGCATTTCTGCCCCTGGGTGGGATGCAGGCCCTACACCCCGCCTAAGCGGGTTCACAGGAGCTTATGCAAGCACTCAAAGATATCCTACCTAATTTGGCACCTAATTTGGCCGCCTAAGTCTGGGCGATGCGCCCACACCTTCTGGACCGCCTTGGCAGCCCCGCAGGCAGTGGCCTATCCACTTTTAAATCACTGAAGACATCAAAAGGACCTTTGAATCTCCGGTCTTCATTTCACATGACCATAGAGACAAGAACATGGGTCGGTTAAAATTGAAGCTGGTGATAATAATTTTCTTATTTTTCAGAGTCTATTTCCTTATTTGGTGTGTTTGATGTGTTTGGTCCAATTCCAATTAAATTTGCAGCATTGCGTAAAAACTCCAAGGCTTACAAATGACCTCAAATGTTTAAAGAAGGGCATAAACATGAGTATGAAAGAGGCAAATGATTCAATGGCACGACTAATTCATGAGAGAAATATCTTGCAAGTAGAATTTTCATTCATCATTTCATCGAATGAAGACTTTCCTACATCACCATAAAAAACAAAAAGACCATGTAGAACCTTACAAACCAAACAAAAGTACAAAAGCAAAACAAGCCAGTTGTCCTTCAACACGTCTAAGCTTCATGATGGAAACATGAACTAGACCAGCCACATGTAATTACGCCAAAGATATCGACAAGGATAGCTGGAAACTCCTGTAAACCTAAATTACGTATGGTCCCAAAAAGTAGATGAATAGTATGGCCCCATCAAGTTTAAAAAACTTTGGCCAACATGAAGTCTAAATTTCAAACTTGATACAAGACTTGCAATTCAGACAATTTGGCAGAAAATATAATTCAACTAGAGATTGAAAGAGCCCCAATCCCATTCTATGGTTCAAATAGAGAGCTCTGGCATTCAGTGAAAGAAAAGGGTTCAGGAAAGAGGATTTTGCGAGCTGATGATTAATAATGGCAATGTATGTATTTGCAATAAAGTAGGCAAAACCCAAACAAACCAGAACGAAAAAAATCAAAAAAATATCAACAAAATTCTCCCCAAGTACATGACAAAGCTCACTAGAATAATATATACATTTCCAATACGAACATAACATATCGAATGTTCTGTAAGCACCCTAGTGTCCATGCAGGGTTGGTTCCCACCGAAGTCATAGAACTACTTCTTTGTTTTTACGTTCTTTTTAAAAATCTTTACCCACATATTCTTCCAGACAAAATGTGCAGGAAAAAAGATTGCGTAAATCTAACACCACTTGTTCGTACCTTGTCACCTATTGCATCCTGGACAAGTATTGTGTCTCTGGAAATACAATTCAAGACATTTGCACTTGTTATACTGGTATCAAAAAATGAAATGTCTTGATTCAAGACTGAATGGAAATATTTCAAGCGCAAACAAGTTGCCTGTCTTTCCCCAGTCTGCATCCAACAAGCCACCTCTGGAGAACAGTTGGAAAGACACTTTGTTAGTAAGGACGATACCCAAAAAGTAAAAGAATGATAAAACATATCAAGAGCATGGGTATATGCAGTACTGAGGTTCTGAAAATCTGAAAAACTGGAAAGGTTACATCTTGCAACAGTAAATTCCAGCATCCGCTAATGAAAAAGATTTCGTGAAAGCAATCATGAAACAGGATCTTCCATAAAGGATACCATTAATAATGTATGATGTGGTCGAGAAAAGAGGACACGATGCAAATGCATTGTGTCAGATGTACCTATCCAAGATGATGCCATGACAACCAGTCCCAAGTATAACAATTGCAGTGCATTCTGCAATGAAAAAAGAGATAGAAGTTAGCAAATGCATCAGAAACCTATAACAAATCTTGAGAAAATCTCAGAAACCGAGACAAGTATTGGCAGTTTAGATAGATTTTAATTCTTCAATACATCCAAACAATACATGAGCCCATGACAATTTTTTTATTCACAAAATGAAAACATAAAACACAACTCCTGCAATTATTCACAACTGAAAAGACTTACCTTTACTTAAGTACTGCATTGGCGCCTAATATTGACTCATTTAGGGTGGGGATCTAGAAAATGATTTATTACAACTCAGAAGCATGTCATCATTGAACTATGGGAAAAATAAAGTAGAGGTTATCCCATAAATCGTATCAGCATGTAGGCACTGCCAAACTCTGTGTCCAAGAACTTATGTTTATTTTTCGTATTTCATAACTGTAGCGAGGTATTCCTCGTAAAGTCCTCAATCAAAATAACAAAATATCCAGAACTGAGTTTAGACAGCACAGAGGCAGCCACAAAATCCAAATGAACTAAGTCCAACGGACAGTGCTTTTATTTGCAAGGGTTGCATAAAACTTAGCTAGACGACAAGTATCACGCTCTGATTCACCATATAAAATTTTTAGGAGAAAACTTCAAAAAAGAAGCAAAGAACATGGGAAACAAAAAACTGTCCTAGTTGAGCAGAATTCAGGACTCCAGATCCTGATGCCAAAGGTACCAGGATTATTAAAGTTTAAGTGAAACAGTTGCACCAGATTGTCTACAACCAGTATGTCCCAGAAAATAGTTTATTTAAAGACCCAAAAGTCAATGACATCTACGAATCTGCTTCACAGAAGCGATTTCATGAACAAACTGCATGTCATAAACAAACACAACCAATCAACTTTGATAAATCAAATGGGACTCGAGAACCGGATTCACGGCCTACAAGAGAAAAAAGCAAATTGAATTCAAAGTGACAAAGTCATATGTGGATCCTAAGCATCAAATTCCTAATATGAAAGACTCAAAATTTCTTAGTGCAGGATTACCTTGAAAGAGAAAATAATGACTCCAGCCGCCTTCTCTTTCAACATAGGCGATCCGCTTTCCCGTAGTTAAGGAGTCTCAGTATTCGTTCTAACTTCCACTCGCAAAGGAACAAGATCTGGATTTGACTATGGCAAGCACAGTTTACTATGCGAGTGGAGAGACTTTTGCGAGTTAATAGCAAGTCGAACATTTTGGAAGTGAAACAGAGGTAATCTTAGACAGAACGCTGATGTGGAGTTTGTGCCCTCAGTACGATCCGGAATTGACCGGATCTGAGAACAAAGAGCGGGCGGAGAGGAAAAGCTGTTGGGGAATCCACAAGCTTCCCTTTCTTTAAGGGGGGGGTGGCTAATGGACGGATAAAGGGACGCTAGCATATTCAATTGCGGACTTAAGTTATGCTAAGGTACGGAGTCACGTCAGCTGTGGGGACTTCCCATTGGTAATGAAATAGCAAGGCTGCGTTGGCTTCAATTGGCCTAAGGCACATTGAGCATAGCAAGAACCAAGCAACGGAAGAGCACGCTAGCGTGAAAGCCATTGCGAGGTAGCACATACGTTTTCTTGCTGGGACGAGGAAGCTATGCAATGGAGAAGCTTCCTTGTTCCTTAGCCGCTTGACTGAGCATAAGCCAAGAAATAACGGCTAGCGCGACGCTAACACGCATCCGTTTTCTTGCTGGGACGAGGAAGCTATGCAATGGAGAAGCTTCCTTGTTCCTTAGCCGCTTGACTGAGCATAAGCCAAGAAATAACGGCTAGCGCGACGCTAACACGCATCCGTTTTCTTTCTTGTCATTGGCTCAAAAGCCTATGGGCGTGCTAGCGCACTACGTTTTCTTCACAGGTAACTCTAAACTGAAGACTCTTAAGAAAAGATTGGAGTCAAATCAAGCCAAGTCATCCATCAAACATATTGAAATTCAATTTTGATGGCACTGGCAATCCTTGGGGTTTTTAGTTTTCCATCCATTCTCACCCTATTTCTTTTGATTTCTCCTTCTTTGAACTCAACCTTGAGTCCCTCCTGTCTAGACAAGCCCCTCGAACGGGAATGCCCCCAGATAACCGGCCTGTGGGGTTGAGACCCCTGGCATCTGCCATTTCCGACATCTTCACAAGAAAAACATGCGCGAGGTGCATCCCCTGCCCGGTTGATGGATAATGCCCTTTGAATGAAGAAAGAGAGAAAAAGGAGAATGAACATAACCCTATAACAGCCCAAATGAATCACTGATTCCTAGAAGACCTTTAGATCACGTAGCTAATAGAGCTAATGATTCTAAAATCGCTTAGCTTAGTTTCGAAGCTAAGGAGAGTGTTGTAGCCCAATCCTATAACAGGATAGCGACTAAATTCCTCTCCTAATGATCGAGTAGCTTCTACCTCCTTGTCAGTCCGACCTAAAGGTCGCCTGGTCGAGTCACTTTGGACCTTTCCGAGTGAGCCCCCAAAGGTTCAGGTAGTATTGCCTTTCCACAACTTAAGCAAAACAAGAAGGTTATGAAATTGCTTAGGTTGCAAAGCAGCGGTATCAATCCCGTCCTTCAACTACTTCCACATCGCTTTCAATTAGCTTTGCCAGAGTTGTCTAATAACATTTCTGTAGCATGTTGTCTACTTACCTCCGCTTTCTTTCTTCCTTTCAGATCAAGTTGTGACTGCGCTCACTCGCCACTCTCCCCGATCCTGCCTTCGCTGCCTCTCCTCATACATCGGAGCCTTGTTGTTTGCCAAAAGCTAATAGATCATTGGCAGGGAATCGTCATAGAGTTCCTTAGACCAGGTTCACCCATTTTTTGGTATAGACGACCACGTACAACCCGTCAAAGGTGACAGTCGTTGGCTTGCCTGTGGACCATGGTATCTGACGAGACATTGGCCTCCCTCCCAAAAAAAAAAACTTGCTTTTCACCACATTGAGTTTTTTCCCTGTAGATTTCTCAAAATCCAAAAGGATGCACTTAATTGCAGAAGCCGATCTAGAAGATGCTTCACAAAAAATTACTGCATCATCTGCATAGAAGAGATGGGATATAACAAAATCACAACAAGAAGGGAAAGCCACTGGGAGCATGCCTTGCCGTGTAAAGAAGTTCAGTTGTCTGCTAAGAAAATCCATAACCAATAAGAGCAAATAAGGGGACAAAGGGTCACCCTTACGCAAACCCCGATTCGCTCTGAAATAACCTTTTGGGGGTCCATGATGAAGAATTGAAAAGGAGAGAGAAGTAATACATTTCTGAATCCAAGAGAGAAAGATGTCCGGAAATCCCAAAGCTTGCATTCTGGCAAGTCAGGTGTTACACTTGTTAGACTCCTATTTAGTATTCATCCTACTATTCTATTAGTAAGCATTCATCCTCCCCCTATTTATATTCTTCATTCTAATCAAGAATAGTCCGTTCATCAGTGAGAGAGATAGTCCGTTCATCAGTTCACTTGCTGGCTGGCATCGACTGCTCCCTCTGCTTGGGATCAATTCGATAAATGGATGAAACAACCACCTATGCGTTGTACCTGGCTCTGGGGTGCTACGACGGGCCAAAGAAGCCTCACCATCATCTCCGATTGATGAAGATCTGCAGGGTCCCTAGTTCAAAAGCCTGCTAGCTAGCACAGAACCCTACTCCATTGAAGGTTGATCCATGGGACGAATTGATCCTGATTTAGCTTATGCTTCTCGTAATCATGGTTGCCTTTATAGATTGTTATCCTATCACATAAAAAAGTAGCATCAGAATGCAAGATACAGTACATCTAGACAATGGAGAAAATTACCAAGGAAGCAGTGGATAGAGCCAGTCTGTTTAAGAGGCTCATCTGGGAAAGGTCCTACAGAAGTAGTCAAGGAAGCTGCAACTACCAATGACTAGTGCACTAGAGAAGAGACCTTGAAGCAGTAAAAATCCATGGTACTTGCGTAAGTAAATATGCCATGACACAAATGAGATACGAGCACACATAGCATGAGTTAACTGTCGTGTTTTTACCCACATATGCTCAAGTATTCAGACTAATTACATGGTATGCCTGCATGTCAGGGCCTGAAAAAGGGGTAGACTCAGTACCACACCACATTATAGGATCTTTGGATTGAGCACCATACTGAGCATGATGAGATGGTAGTCATGCAGGCCCAGCAACCTCTTAGATGTATCATGTACAAGGGGAGTTGATGTTATTACTATTCGTTAGTTTATTTCACAAAGCAATTTCCCTGAATGTTAAGGGCATTTATGTAATTATATATACCCAAAAATCTAGTCATCTAATGAAGATGCACCCGAATATACCGATTGAGGGGGTCTACACACACTCTCTTGCTCTCCTCTTGTCTCTTTCTTCTTGGTGACGAGGCATAAAACTTACATAGTATCATAGCATTGGTGAGCATTTTAGCAAAGATTTTTTGGATATGAAATCTAATTCTATCAGTTTGTTTTAAACTACAATAGTCCACCATCTATTTTGATAATTGGAATGCACTTGCCATTGCAGCCAATCCTATTTGTCATGACTGCACTAAGCACATGGATATTGATTATCATTTCGTGCATCAGAAGATCGAAGTAGAGGCAATTTGAATGGACTATATTGGCACTGGAAATCATATTTTGGACATTCTCACCATAGGGCTTATGAATGGCATCAACATCATCATCATCATCATTCAAGTGTTTCCCTTAACCCATCCTAAGCCTGGGTAAAAGAGGTGGGTTGCATTAGGTAGGCAGCCAGCGTAAAATTTTGCCACATCTTATCATGAATCTTGTACCCATGAATGGCGTCACTTTGTAGAAGACAAGTTATCCATGTTTGAGCATGATATACAATTCGAAGAGGGAATTAAACTAGGTTTCAGGACTATGTATCAAGTATAAGGGGAATTGATGTCACTATTATTTATTTATTGTTTTGAGAAAAATTATTATTATTTGTTATTTTATTTCAGAACATGAAGATACAACTCCAATATCCTGATTAGGGGGTCATCTTTCTTCTTGGTGACCAAGTATCAAAATTACACAATCAGCCCTCGACCATGGTAATGCAGATATACCGAGGACCAAGATGACCCAGCTAGGATACTATTCCCCAAAATTAATTATTTAAAAAGAAAAAGAAAAAAAATTATCAAGGTAACTAAATGAGTATCTCAACAATGAGCCAAAGAATTACACTATGTAGGTTAACAACTCCTATTGGTAGTACACACCCAAAAATGCTCATTTTAACCATCAGGATATGAATTACATATAAAAGATTCTACTCATTGAATGATAGTCAATAAAAACCACTGTAGCTGGTAAAATCTAAAGTGAGACCCATAGCTATGAAGTAACAACCCAAGATATAATGTGGGAAGTACTATTAATGAAATTACTCTTCTCCTCAGCATTTTCTTGGATCATAATAAATACCCTCTGATTTCCTCGATTTGGTCGGTAAACCATATATTTGAACTCCCAAATGTCAACTATATGTTACATTTAACATTAAATGTCCACAGATAGTAACTGTTGGTGACTTCCAGGTTAATTTGAGAAAACCAACTTGTGAGGAGCATACAGGAACATCTGATTACGGCTCAAAAGTAGAGCCTGAAAAAGTTCTTCCTAGTTCCGCTCCAGATTCTCTCATCATCATTCAATTTTTACGATTCACATTTCATAAATTCATACCAACCATTCTTCCACCTCCTCTTTGGCTAACTATCGAAAGAAAAGTAAGTTGTAATCAAAATGAACGCATGGAATATGTCATCAAAGGGTCATCACTATTCACTCAATGCTGGAATGTTATGGAAAGAAAATGGAATCCATCATCAACCTCATCTCATATTCTGACAAACACAGCATGAAGGGCAAAACAGGAGTGGGCAAGCAGCTACTAGAAGATCCTATGTTTTTATTTGAACGTGAGATAACGATGAATGTAAATTATAAAAGCAACATACTGAAGAGTTCAATGATTCCATAACCAACAGTTGGTGTACCAGAACAGTCTAAGAGAGTGACCACGTAATTACAGAATTAAATCATAAGAACAATAAGCATGCTGTGCTACGCAGTTTGTGATCCAGTCTCAATAATTCAAGTTGGACTAAAAACACATGAGAGGAAGGGAAAAATCCTAGTGAAAGTGGCAGTAGCATCAAGAAAGTCCAAACTTTGTAGATACTTTTAAAACAGCAGTAAGAACATGTGCCAACTCTTCAGGGGTACTCATAATGTTTCCTTCAGATGTAATCTGCATATCAGCATTAGCAACATTAGGCTTCCCATGAAGATGGAACTACTGCTCACAAAGATGTCATAATCAATTACCATGCATATAATGAGGGTCTTGATAAGCCTTTCTATTATCATGCCTTTGAAGTCAACTTTCAGGGTGAGATAACAAAAAAGGCTGGATTGAGGTTGAAAGTGGCTGCATGCAGTGGATATGCGAACTGGTTACACATGTTCACATAATTATCCCGAAGACACTCAAACAACCTCGTGAAACCAATCTGTTTATCTCCAATTACCAAATTCTTGACCTCGATCCACAGTTCCATAAATGTCATGGATTTGAGGCTTCTGTTGACTGTGTACTTAGTAAATTGCTTGCTATGGGGAGTAAGATATCCCAAAGGAGTACAAGAAGTTATTCTTACAAAGATACTTCACAGTATGTACATCAAAAATACTTCACAGTTTGTACATTATAATAATTACTTAATTATCAGTTTGGGAGTACAAGATGTTCTTCTTACAAAGATACTTCACAGTATGTACATCAAAAATACTTCACAGTTTGTACATTATAAGAATTACTTACTTATCACTAACTCCTTATTGTCTTTGTAGATTTTCTAACCCATTTCAAGATTGTTTCTTTATCTGCTCATTAAACGTTCTCCTTCAGTCGTTCAAGATAATAATTCATAGAAACTGTTAAAAGGATGTTGCATTTTTCTGAAATCCTCTTCCATAAGATGAAGCTACCCATGTACAGACCTTGCTCAATGTAGTCTGATGTGCTTGGTTTCCATCATAAAAGAGCAAATCCAGATCCATCATCTGTGTTTCTGTCTCAACTCAATTGGATTTCTTATTAATTCATCCTGAACATTTTAACTCAGACTCAGAGGTCTCAACTCAATTGGATTTCTTATTAAGTCATCCTGAACATTTTAACTCAGACTCAGAGGTGAAGAAGGGGTATGATTCACTCCAACAGGGCCACTTTGATAAGGATAGAAACAAAATACAAGATAATACATCAGCCTAGTTAAGTTCCAATATGGAGAAGAATCATATATGGTTTCACGAACCAGTAGAAGGCATTTCCAATTTTATCATCCTAAAGACCAAAATATAAAAGACAGCCACAGATTACCTGCACATAAGTCCTCTAAGACGCCGCAACCCCCAACATACGTGACAATCCTCAAGAGTTCTCAGTATAGTTAAGTTATCAACCATCTCCAAAAGTATTCTTATTTGGAATCTATGGTAGAGTCGAGGAAACTTGGGTAACAATACACTGTTGGAAAGCATGTTTTCCAGAATAGTTTTCCAGGAATTTTCTAATGCAAGGTTTTACAAAATGAAATAATGGCCAATTTACCATCATAGCAAAGACTCTTTAAAGTTTTTCTCTCTATGATGCCTTCAAAATAGCATCATCTTCACCATCATCATCATTATAACCTTTTCTCAATTAATTGGGGTCAACTACACAGGTCCGCCATTCTGCTTTATTTAAGGCCACACTCTCAGTGTCTTCAAAATAGCATGAAGGTCTCGTATAATGGCCATTGTGATGCTCCAGGGCCACGACGACAACATGTCATTCCATTTTCTGAACCTTATCACATCAAACGGGATGTTATATAGCTAAGGTCTGGAACATTGCATAAACCACATCACAAACCGATGTGTGGCACAACGTGCTACAAGTCTTTGAAAGGAACTGTGTATAACCTCAGAATCAATTCAACATGTTGACCATTCAAATAACATTTTATCAAAGGAAAGGTTTTCAAACAAAGGCACCACAAAATGCAGCTTGGAGACACTAGCAAGAAGCATACAATTCCCTATTTAGCACTACAACAACAAAATCACTCCAAAATCGATTCCCTGGTGAGTCCATTACGAAAAATTCAGGTAGAGAATAAGCAATAGGTGGGTGTTTCTTTAGTCAAAAATATATTGGAATTCAGAGTAGGTGGAATTTTCATTTACCTTTCCAACTTCAGAAGCCAATTTGTTAGTATCTCCAGACAAACAGCCCAGTGAGTCTATTAACCGCCCGAAGATTACAAAGAATACAGGTAATGCAGCTCCATGTACACAGGCCCCAAGCGTACCAAAGAACATGAGAAACATGTCAGTTGTGTCTGCAAAAGCCAACAGTTTGAAGAAAGAAACATTGGATTCTCTCTCTTTGAAGGAGGAAGCCTGAGCCATGTCTTCCTCTTTCTTCTGAGGATGAGAGCTCTCGACTGCTGCTGTTGCAGAGGAGGACAACTCCATGGCTGCTTCCATTGGAGATGATGAAAATGAGAGAGTGATTCTTCTGAGGACAAGGGGAAGAGGGAGAAAGGGAGTTTATGAAAAGAGGTCGCATGGCCTTAGTGGAGGAGGTCGTTCTGGAAATAAATGCAGGGAGAGAGGGAGAGAGGGGAAGGTTGAACAGCAAAAAGGCGGTCCAATTCGTGTGAGCTGGGCCTGCACAACAACTAACTGGGCTGCTATTGTTTCGAAAGAGACTCGCCCTCCCTCCATTTATTCAAATTCTTTATATACGGACCATCAAGTCGGGTATTAATCGGCAAACCAAAATGGCGGTAATAAATCATTTTTATTTCGAAAAAGGAGAAAAAATCGGGTCAAAATAAGGGTGGCTAAAATATAAAGTTATAGAATTTGTGAATATTTCGATGTATAAAGATGATATATTATAAGATTATAATTTATAATTATGAAAAAAGCTTATTTAATTTTTGCAACCTAGAATTATTATATAAATGCATTAAAGCTATAATTTTGTGGCCTTACCTACGATCATTAAAGTACTAAATAAATTTAATAACGATGCTCACTCTATTGTCACAACATAAAACATATCATAGATTTATGTGGAGCATAAAATGAAACAACAAGAATGACACTAAATATACGGACTACATTAGTAAATAGCAAGAATTGTAAACCAAAATATAGGATCATTGTTCTACAAAAAAAATAAAGACCCTCAATACAGGATTGCATTTTTATTTTTGGGTAAGTCAGTGGGGGAGAAGGCCCCATACAACCCTATCATTAGGACCTACGGATGCAATTATCTTACAACCCTATCATAAGCATAAGGCAGTTAATTAAAGACAGTTGCGCCAAATCCTGAAATAACAAAGGAGAAATGAAGTTTGGTGGACAACAACGCCAAACTGTATCATCAGGACCTACGGATACTCTCTTAGTGAGGGCATCATCAACCATATTTACCTTACGAAAGACATGTACAATGGACTATCTATGAAGAGAAAGTCTAGTGTCGCAATTATTTGCGATCATCTGTAGCCACCATGGAGCACGACATCGATTCTGAATGAAATTCACAAGCAGAGCCGAATCACTTCTATCTAGATAGGAAAGTATTTAATGTGAAGTACTAAGTGAATGTCTTCTTCAAGTGCCAATAATTCTATATGGTTATTGGAAACAATACCAAAATGCTTAACAAATGCAACAATAAACCCACCATTGTTGTCCCTGATGACCCTACCACCACCTGCTAAACTAGGATTTCACAGGGAAGCACCATTATTATTGAACTTGTAATTCTGACCCTCAAAAAATGACCATACCATCGGAGTGATGAATACTAGCTTCTATTGACACCGAGTTATTTGAAGAATGATTGCCTTTTTTGATAGATGGAATGTCCATTTTTTAACCTCTCTAGCGCTTGAACATGTGAGGTAATACGTTTCACAATTTGTTCTCTCCTAGCGGATCTTGACTCAAATACTCTCATGTTGTGCTCCTTCCAAAGAAACCAAATAGTAGTGAAAAAGATGGAAGTCCAAATATTAAGTAGTCCATGGGATTTAAACCTGAAAAGTAACCATCTCCTAAGCATCTTAGGAACGAAAATGTCAAGGACGAACATCTTTCCACATCGCCAAGCTAACGATCTTCATACTCCCGATGAAAAAACACAATAAAATAAAAGATAGTAAAGACTGTCATCATTGTTCATGCAAAAAAGGCATAAAGAGTTGAGCTGCATGCCTCGCTATTGCAAAAAAATGAAGTGGGTAAACAATTATGCAGAGCCAACCATGAGAACCATTTAGCCCATGGGTGGCATTTAGAAGACCATAGGGCATGGATTATAGGCTGCAATGATCCTTGATACCGAATAAAGCCTCCTGCTGCCTTGATTGAGAACAGAACATTCACATAATGAATCCATACCAATGAAACCTTTTTGGCGTGTAACGGGAGAGTATAACTCTCAACCTCCCTCCATATATTTCTCACAGAACCTGATGTGGGAAGCAACAATACCCAAGATTGAGGTGAACTGCCAATAAAGTCTGAAACCCTTTGCCTAACAAAATCTCCCAAATCCTCCTGAATGTCAATACTATAATAAGAGTTCGACAATGACTGTCTTGGTAACCATGGGTCCACTCAGAAATCCACCATTTGACCATTACTAATACACCACTAAAGATTGCCCTTCAAATGTGTTAAGCCAGGTAAAATGCCCTTCCAAACATGAGAACACCATCTTTTTGCTTCGGCCTCCCATATAGAAGAATTTCTAAAGTATCTATATTTGAATAATCGGGCCAATAGCAAAGAAGGGTTTGTCAAGATCCTCTAGGCCAACTTCATCATTCATGCAATATTGAAGTCTAATAATATCTCGTACCCCCAGATCTCCCTGCTCTTGAGGGAGACAAACTGACCTCCATTCGACAAGATGGACACCTTTTTTTTATGTTTTACCTACCCATAAGAAATTCCTATGTTGCCTCTTTGCCATGTTACATGTTTTATTTGGGAGGATAAAAGATAAAATCCAAAAAACCATTGATTCACTGAGTAACCGGCATAACAGGGTAGCAGTTAACTAAAACAAAACACAAAGACCCAAGTATGTAAAATAGTGGTCCATCCAAAGTGTAACATTGCGTACTCTAATAAAATAAAAAAATAAAAAATAAAATTAATCAAACTTCTCTATGCATAAAAAAAGCAACAAAATGCTTAAGCAAATTCAAATCTCACATGGAATTCTTAGCTGCCTAAATCTTTAGTATCGTTGAATCTCTCTCTTACACTTTATAAGGATGCTCTGTTAGGATTTAAGAACCCTCTTAGATGTGAAAACATGAATCCCAAAGGTTGGATCCCACCAAGATCGTGTACTTATTCAGCTATAAACAAAATAAGAGAGAGCACGAGCCATAATACGAGAAATAAAGTATGAAACACACACGCCACAAGATCACAAAGATTTACATGGTTCACCCCAAGAAGGCTACTTCCATGGGCACGGAAAACTAAAATCCACTATACCAATGAAAGTTACATTGCAGATTTTGGCACAAAGAGTTACCTCTCTAACTCTCGACAAAACCCAGTCAAATAAACTCTTTTAGACGCAGTCTCACGATCGGCACCATCATCGACCTCTCATCTCTATTCCACAGCAAAACCACTGTCCAGAAAAAGACCTTCTTCATTCCACACTTAAACCACTGTCCAGTAGGAGAACCTTGAGAGCAACATAGACTTTATCTCACTAAAAGGGGAAACTACCCAAAATCTTCATAGGAACCGTTTCTCTACAAAAAATCAACCTCTTAATCTAGAGAAGCCACCCAAATTCTTCATGGGAATCAGTTTTCTACAAGAAACCAACCTCTCAATCCACAGGAGGCACATATGTGGCTTTTCTTTTAATAAGAAGCTCGCTTCTCTCACTATAGAGGAAGCCACCTTTCCCATTTGGTAACCCAAATAAGGTACATAAATTCTATGCACTTTCATCTTATATATATAAGATTAGGAGTCCAAACTTAATAGGAAACTTTCTATAAATGTTAAATATTACATATATCTCAAAAACCGAAAGATATATCTCATAGTCATAATCTTTCTTTATGAAACCTTATCAATATTAATATCAATCTCAATCCCACATAATATGGGATTTCCTTATGTGGGTGATTTTAGATAATCGCCATATCCAACATGCCCTTTATTTAAAGAAAAAAAGATATTTCATTGGATTACTCTTCTTCTAACTCTACCTATTACTTTGAGATATACGATTGGTTTGATATCTTATTTTTAGAGAAAAATATTGTTTGTATTTTTCGTATACTCTTTTTAAGGGAACTTAGAGAATTTTTGGTTAAGTCAATATTTTTAATTTACACCACTATTAATGTGTTTATCTTTAAACCAAATTCAATAACATTAACTCATGAAGATATAAAGCTACATGGAAGAAGTTTTTTTAAAAGGTTTTTTGAGAAAAGATAAAATGCAGATTTATATCGATTTCATTAAAAAAAAATGAATTTAAAAAACTCAGAGTTCTTAATGAATTTTTAAAAAATTGGAGATTTTTTTTGAAAAATCATGTTTTAAACAGAGCGTGTTAACTATAGTTGGGGCACACATACATTTAATAATTCATAATGTGAACGGTGACCCAAATCGCCACTTTGGATTTTTATCTAGTTAAGAGGAATGGCGATCTGGATAGGAGATCTAAAAAAAATTAAAAAATAGAAATAAAATAATAAATGTCGTTGGATCTGGGCGGTGCTCTGACGGGACCTGCTGGAATCAGCCCAAACCGGACAACCAAGTGATTAAAAAATAAAAATTAATAAAAATGTGGAACCAGTTTGTATCTGTTCTCTGGTAGAACCGAAACTAGCCGTTTCATGGGGGACTAGCCAGTACCTAATGCTTTTCAAAATCTAGATTGGCCCAATCGATTCTCAATCCAAATCAACCGATTTTGATCAAGATCATTGCTTTTTCGGACGTTGGTCATTCAGCGGAAAGCAAGATGCCTTCATTTATAGAAATTAGAAACATAACATGGATTACTATAAAATAAAAAGGCAAATCGGCCCATTCTTGTACCTAGGAAACTTAGGGATGGGGTCTACGAGTGTCCCATTTTTCTCTCCAAGAAAACTAGGGGTGGGAAAATGGCCTTGTCAAGTCCTGGCCCGGACATGATTACTGGACCCAACAGGTTTGCTATGGGTCTACTTGTCCGGAATTGGATTCCTGATAGACCATTCCAAATCGGGTTAGAATGGACGTGACCTGGTATACATAAAAACAATATCTATAAATTACTGCCCCTAGTTAGGGAGACATCCCTCATCTAAAAGTTCAGGAAAAAAACGTATTGGAAAAGATGTTTCTTCAACTTGATTAATGCAGACAGACTGTTTCATACCTAGCTTCTTTAACAACTCAAAAAAAAATCTTACTTTATGGGGTTATGACAAGCAACCTACAAAATTCCCCTCAGACCTGCATCTTAAAAATAATTTTTTTTTCCTAAAATCAATTGCCCCAATTTGGCGCTTTTTCTCTTTTCTAGAAAAACTATTTTGTCGAATTCTTTTCAAAAGATTTTTTCTAACAATCTTCTATGTGAAGATGTATGCGCCAAATTTTGGGCAAAACGAC